GACGGAAGGGGGTACTAGGGTGCTACAGCATCGGTGATGCATCCTTGGTTTACTCGTGTCCTCCCTTCTCTTCCTCTTCTCGGCTTCTGTGTTGACACGGTTTCTTCATGTCTTTTCGTTGCCAAGCATGTGCGCCAGCGTGGAGGCCAAACAGTGTGTTTCTAGCATCCAATGTTGTGCAACAGTGTCGTGCAACCTATGTTGTGCAATCTATGTGGCGCAATCTATGTGGTGCAATCTATTTGGTGCAATCTGTGTTGTGCAATCTAGATGGAGCAATCTACGTGGTGCAATCTATGTTTTGCAAGTTGTGTGAAGCAATCTTTGTGGTGCAATTCATCCAGCTGCCAACGGCAAGTCCCGCCACTATGCCTGGCTTGTGGGTGTGAAGCCTATTTGATGTTTGTTGGGATCTCGTGGGAGGCCTCTCGGGGGCCTCTTGGGGGCAGTTTTGATGCCTCTTGGGGGCCGTTTTGGGACCTCTTTCGATGCTCTTGGGGGCCTCTTGGGGCCTCCTGGGGGCCTCTTGGGGGCCTCTTGGGGCCTCTTGGGCGCCTCTTGGGGCCTGGCCGTCTTGGGGCCCTGTTGGGCGCCTCTTGGGCGCCTCTTGGGCCGTCTTGGGGCGCTCTTAGGCCGTCTTGGGGCCCTCTTGGAGGCCTCGCCGTTTTGGGGTGGTTTTGGGGGTCTCTTGGGCCGTCTTGGAGCGTCGGAAAGCCGAAGCGGCGAGAACCCCAAATTCTTTCAAACACTTCAGAATAATCAATGATTTTGCACCTTGGGGTCTCCTTGTGAGGCCTCTTGGGGCGTCTTGGAGGCCTCTTGGGCCATCTGGAGGCCATCTTGGGCGTCTTCGAGCGATCGTTTGGCGACTCGGGGCCCTCTTGGACCGTCTGGGGGGCCTCCTGGGCCGTCATGGAAGCCTTGGAGACCCCCAGGTATGCGCCATGGCCGCCCAGGGACCCCCTGGGAGTAGGGGTGGTGCAGTCGGGTGGGAGTGACTGGGGGGAAGGGGGGTCCTTTGGAATATTATAGAAACCCTGCCACGCAGCCCTTGATACTCTTCCACACCTCAACGTGCCTGCGGCACGGTGGCGGATTTTTGTTCGCAGTGAGTTGTCAATTCCATTGCTCGCGCAATCATCTCGCCCACCCACCCGCAACGTGGTTTGCAAAACCCCGCCGGACGGAGCCAGCCAGCAGGGCAGCCCCACCGCCGCCGGAGGTGCCCGGGACGGTCCCGTCCTACTCGCCCTCGCCCGAGCGCGAGCCGGCGCCGCTCTCGCCGGACTCGGCCGGCAACGAGCGCGTCTGGAGTTTCATCTACATCTAGATGGGGTCGGAGTAGATGGGGTCGGAGGATCGCGCCGCATCGCCGATGCATCGGCGATGCGGCTCGATGGGTGGTCCGATTTCGTCCACGCCGACGTCGCCGATGCACCGCCGACGTTGCCGATGCATCGCCGATGCATCGCCGATACATCGGCGATGTATTGGCGATGCGGCGCGAACCTTGGACCCCATCTACTCGGACCCCATCTAGGAGGCCTCTACTACACCTGGCGCCCCTCGGACCCAATCCCGGAGAAGATCTCGAGGTGGTGCTTGTACTCCCCAGAGGTGATGGAGGCCGTCATGCCCGTAGCCTCCTCGTGCAAGGCTCGTCTGTCGCGAGGTGTGGTCCCAGGTCCGACGTCGTCGCCGCGCAGGCCAACGCTCCAGGGCGAGCCGATCCCGATGCGCGCGGTGATGTTCTGCCACAAGCTGCGCCAGTACTGGAAGCGCACCTGGGACGCGGGTGAGCGCCAGGCGCGCAGGCGCCACTGGCAGCTCCTCGGAGACGGAGAGTGTCCAGGGTACGGCCCAGACCCGCTGCTGGAGTCCGACCGGCCAGACGAACCGGACGTTGCACCGTCATCTGGCGCGGCGCCGGCCACCCAGGTGGGCTCAGTGCGTCAGTGCTCGATGAGCCCTTCGCGCCAGGGCGCGCACCGCGGCCAGGGCACCCTCCGCCAGGCTGGATGCCGTCGTTCCGCCGCGGCACTGGCCCTCTGGCACCAGTGGGGTCATTCGGGCGCGCTAGCCTCGTGGGCAGAGGCAGGGCCAAGGGCAAGAACGATAGCAACATCAAGGACGACGACGAGGGCGACAAGTGGGCTGCAGCGGCGGATGCCAAGCCCAAGACACGGGGAGGGGGCGAGAAGGCCAAGCGCCGCCGCGGGCAGCAGCCTCCTGCCGAGGAGCCCAGTGCGCCCGCCACAGGCGAGCAGCCAGTAGTCCAGCAGGAGGACAGCTCGGCATAGACGAGCGGGGCGGAAGTGCGGGGGAGAAAAAAATGACCACGCACGCCCCTCATGGTCTACTCGTAAGTCGGGCGTCTTCTTTTAAAGGAGAAATATCCAAAAATTGTAAAACATCAGTCATGGGACGATTTTTTGAGCATTTTTTTGGTTGTTTGTATTTTTTGGCTATTCTTAATTTTTCGTCCAAAATCCGCCTGTAGGGGAACACGCCCGACCTAAGTCTTTTCGTCCTTGCTCCAATCTGTGACGCTACTTGAGCGATGCTGCTCCACTCCCTCTTTTTGCCCAACACGGCTCCGAGCAACTCTTTCGCCCGGCATTTTACGATAGGCTTTCGGGCTGTCAGTCCGCAGCTAGGAGCCCGCAGAAACAGACGCGGCGCTGGGTGAGCATACTCCGCACACTCGCGCGAGCTGTGCCCAGTGCTATTCGTAAGAGCACGGGCGAGCTCCCAAGTATACTCGGTGAGCCCGCCAGCCATCCCGTGCCGAAGCCTTCTGGTCAGATGGCGGCAGTGGATCCTGGACTGTACGCGGGGGTTGGACGGTTCTGGCTTCCCCTTTCTCGTTTCCTTGCTCCGCCAGAGCTGTTCGATCGCCCATACAGTCCCGACTCAAATAGGATGTGCCGCTGCCGTTTGGCCCCAGCGCCGGCTCGGACGGAATGCTTTCGAGAGGTAAAGCGCCTATCCTATTACATCACGTCCGGCTTCTCATTGCCACCAGCCCCGGCAATTCTAGTTCCTCCTCCTTCTCCTCGTCTTCCTCCTCCTCGTCGTCCTCCTCCTCCTCCTCCTCATCGTCGCCCCCCCGTTCTGACCGCCTGAGGGGAATGGGCGGAGGAGCCCGTGCTGCCGCGAGGCCCTCGCTGGCGGGCGGATCGTCCCGGGCCTGCTGCGGGCCAAGGCCAAGGCCCCCGCGGTCGCGACGCCCCTGAACAGGGTGTAGCCTACGCATGTTCGGGGGCGTCGACTCGGCGTCACCCCCGCGTACTAGTATGATGTGTGGGGCGCCCACAAAAGGGGCGGCGCGCGCGCCGATATATCGTAAAGTGTATGCTCCGTGGCGGGCGCTTTTTGGCCGGACCGCTCGGGAAACGATGTATTGCAATGTTTTGTATCAGATGTCCGCGTCGGACGCACGCCTCCAAGGAGGACGCGTAGTACTAGTACGTTCGTCCCGTCGGACGGAAGCGTCGGACAGGGAGTGGAGAATACTTTTCGGTGGCCCAATGTCAAGCAGTGGCGAAGCCTCCTGCCTCGCCTATAGGCCCACCGAAATCTGTTCTGAGAACCTTTTGTAGTCTGCACGACATGTTCTTAGAATATTTCTGGCCGAGACTGTACTGTTCTAACGCATCGGGCTTATGTTCTAAGAACATTGCTTTGTTACTATAACATTTTTGGGTTCTAAGAACATGTCGTGGTAGGCCTATAGGCATGCCGGGACGGTGCCCCTGCTCAAGAATGAGGCTCTCTCGCCTCGGCATGTCTTCCAGCAGCTGCGCTCCGTCGAGAGCTCTGCGGGGGTACCCGAGTTGTTCCGATCGGCCGCCGGAGACCCGAGTTGTGACGCGGAAGCCACCAGGCGTCGACGAGGGCCATGCTTAAGTCGGGCGTGTCCTTCTACAGGAGAGATGCTCAAACATAGTAAAAGTTGTCTGGGGACGATGTTTGGACCTTTTTTTTTTTTTTTTTTTTTTTGTTTTTTTTTCTGGCATTTTCTGACTATTTTTCATTTTTGGTCCAAACTCCGCCTGTAGGAGGACATGCCCGACCCAAGGCCATGCATGCTTATGATGAGGATAAATCGCTCCAAAGAGCTCCAGGCCATTCTCAGAGAGTTCTGGATCGCTCTGGAACGGCCGCCGCGCCCAATACATCTTTCAGATCTGCCGTCTCTGAGAGATTCCCGAACATGTTCGGCGCAGGATGAAAGCTGGTTCCCGCCCCGCGAATGGGTCGGGACGTCTGGAGGCGTCTGTGCTGTGAGCAAGGCGCGACGTTGGGAGCCTGGGGAGGGAAGGGAGGAGGGAGGGAGGGAGGATCGAGGATCGATCGGGGCGTCGAAGAGGACCGAGGAACGGGGATGGGGGAGGGCACTGAGGAGTAATGACTGGGGGGCCACGCTTGCGTAATGTCGAGGCTCCCGTGGGCCAGTCGCGACGCAACGCGCAGTTCAGGCGGAAGAGAACGCTCACGTGACCGCGGTGTCGCGCAGAGGTGCGGTGATCCCACGCCTTGGCGAACACCGCATGCTGGAGCAGTGCGCAGCAGAAAGGCGTCAACTGCTTACCTCTCCCAGAATGACATGGCGCCTGGCCTCAAGGGTTGTCATTCACGGGCAGACAAGGTGGACGTGGAGAGCACTACATTACACTCAGGGGAAGCCCACGATAACGAAGACAACGCGCAACAAGGCGGCCAGCGAAAGCGGTGGGCCGATGACGTCATTACATCCCTCCAGCATTGATGATTCGAGATGCACCCAGTGCCAACACCGACTTCCGCAAACTGCCAACCCAACGACCTAACTTTGGTTCAGTGAGTGCTCAATCTATACTCGCCTGGCCGACACTCGATCACAACTGCGCACACGTTTCGTGATAGCACACGGCCGATTCACGAGACCACCACGGCGACATCCACAACCAGGGCTGCTTCCTCTTGGGAGGGAGGGGGAGGAGGAGGGGGGAGGGGGGAGGAGGAGGAGGAGGAGGAGGAGGAGGAGGAGGAGGAGGAGGAGGAGGAGGAGGAGGAGGAGGAGGAGGAGGAGGAGGAGGAGGAGGAGGAGGACCAGTGCAAACCCTTTGTCTGTCTACCAATCAAGCTGCACGTTTCTGCGCCCTCCAGCAGGCTCGTGCCCGCCACGGGGGCTGGCCCCGCCGGGGGAGAACGACACCTCGCCCGCCGCCTCTCTTCTCGCGGCGCCCGGCTCGGGGGAAGCGCGCGGGCTGCTGGCAGGAACCGACGGGCACGGGACTCCTTCTGCGTCGGCGTCCCCCTGTTTTGGTCCCCTTCGCCCCGCCCCCGCCTGCTCCTGTGTTTTACCCCGCGCTCCTGGCGCGTGCCTGCTTTGAGCGGGGGCGCCTCCGGGTTTCGGGGGCCCCCAGGTCCGCCTTGGCCCACCCCCGCTCGAGTCTCGCCTTCCCTTTTCCGTCCTCCCGGGGATGGGGAAGAGGATGTGATTTCGCCCGCGCAGCATTATATTGCCCGCAGAGGCGGTGGGAGAACGGGACGCGCGCGCTCGCGCGCGCGCCGCTGCCGCTCCCCTCCGTCGTCGTTGTCGGCTTGTTCATTGCATGCGGGTTTCTATCCTACATATAACGGATCTCGGCCGCCTTCAACGGCGGGCCGAGGCCATAAACACCAAGGCTTCGCGCAGGTTATCAGCTGAAGCAGTGCTGTGCACTGGACACAAGGTGGAAACCTCGGGTGATCTGGAAGCACACCCCGATGCCATCATCTACGATGCGTCTTCCGATGCGAAGAACACTCAACAAGCGGCTAGACAACGGCGAGCGGGGCGCGGACAAGTCGTGTTAATGGACCGTGCGTGCTACTGGAAACGGTCGAGCCCATCCGCCCCGAGCCATTCAGAGGGCTTGCGCGGCGGGGCAGCCTGCCGCTGGCACGGCCAGATTCCGGATCGGATCTGGTGAAAGACTGGATGAACCTTTACCCGAAGGATTGCAAAAAACCGAAGGATTGCAAAACAACCGAAGGATTGCAAAAAAACCCTGGATTGCAAAAAACCATGTTTTTTTTTGCAATCCTTCTGCCCAAAACGTCAGGGGTGAATCTCTAGCACTCCAAGCGCCTGAGCCAGAGGTCCCCGATCCTTTGGATCGGGTGCGGCAAGTCCCACCTACGTGTTGGAGACCAGGGGCCGCCGCGCCCTCGGGCGGCGCCGCGGTCTGCGGCCGCTGCCGTCTGACCACAAACATCCATGGCAAGTGCAGGTCGCCGTATCACAGCAGCAGGCGCTGCAGGAGCAAGGCGGGATGTTCGAACAACAGCAGGAGGCGAACCTTAGCAGGATGCGTTCTCCCTTCGCGGAGTTCGCAAGTGCCTCTCTGTTTCAGCATCAGGGGTATCATCAGAGTCTGACATTCCCAATGGCAGCCTCATCTTTAGTGCTGAGGCGAACGCGTTCTCCACGCTCGCACTAGCAGTGAGATGCTGCTTGTACACATCTGGTATGGGTCCATCGCGCGCAAGGCGCTGGTGCGGCGGCCAGTGCACTCATAAGTTTTAATCTAATCGAGTGGTTGACCGATGGCGGATGCATTGCAGTATTTCGTATGTTTTCTTCCTTCCTTCCCCCCTCTGTCCTCCTCCTCGTGCTCCTCCCCCCCATATCCCCTCTACCAACTTTTTTGTAATCTTCTGGGATAGGTCAGAGTTGTGAGCAGCCGATCTGCGGGACTGCCGTTTTTTGCAAGCAATAAACCAGGTCTTGCTTTTGTCGGTGTGCGAGCAGAGGATTCTCAGGCGAGTTCTCGTGAGAAGGGATGTGGTTGAGCACTAATGGAGTTGAAGGAAGATACGGAGGTGGTCCAGGGTATTCGCTACCAGAGATCTGCCTGGCATCAGCAGGCGCGAGCTGTTCTGCCAACTATTTGAGTATAGTTTTGTTTAGCGTGTTCTGCGGCGGGCCCGAAAAACACACCTTTTAAAACGCGTCATTTCCGCGCTGGTATGTTTCCCAAGTTTCACCGAGCCGCGAGTGCGCGCCCTCGACGTTCAGATACAAGTTCGTGCGCTTCGAACAATTTTTGTTCATAGACATTGCTCCTTCGCCCAGTTGTTTGTCGGCCATGATCATGGCGTTGGGGCTCCCACCACCTCCCCGTCCTCCATTGAAGACGCCTCAGTCAAAAGCCGAGGCGTGCAAAGCTCTGGTAATACGTCTGAGCGCGCGCGGTGCTGGGATGTGCAACTGCGTACATCGATAGCTGTCCCCCTTGTGCCCTCCTCCTTCCCCTTCTTCTCCTCCTCCTCCGCCTCCTCCTCCTCCTCCTCCCTCCCGCTCACTTTTTCTATAGAACTGGCTTTCGCCTTCGTGCCGGGCCGCTTGGCGACGTGAGATTTTCCAGGGCTCCGCCGCTAGGCCGGAGTCTCGACGTGAAGGAAGAAGATCGGGGCAGGGTGCAGCCTTGCGATAAGCTTCTCAGTGGGGGTAGGCCCTTGCACCACCGCCCCTCCTTTGGGAGGTGCTACAGACCCCGTGGACCCCTACGCGTAGTGCCGTAAGCCCCTGCCGCCGCATTGCTCCGGTGATGCGGCCAAACACCTCCACAATCGAGCGAGGCAACAAGTGTGAAAAACTGCAATGATGGACGCGGGCGAGGGTATGCGTAACGATTTTGAGCGGATTCTGGTCGGAGAGACAAGAAAGATGATGACACAGATGAAGCGGGCCCCTTGAGCAAGCCTGGGGATGAAACTTGCCGCGACCAGGTCCTCGTCGGAAGTCCGGCGGGGAGGTGGATGGGAAAGGAAGGGTTGGGAGGGGGGGGAGGATAGTTTCGCATTGTACTCTGGCCAGGGCTTCTTCCCCTTGAGCACGGCTGAAAAAGTGGGCCCCCCCGGGCAGGAGCCTGGGGTTCAAGCTTGCCACGGCCAGAGCCTCGTCGGAAGTCTGGCTGGGTGGGGTCACGGCCGAGGGAAGCACGGCACGTCCCCAGAGGTCGAGCACGGCGGCGCGCGTCGGGAGGCCAGCCGGTTTCCAGCTGGACCCCTGGCGGTCTCGGAGGGAGAGGTCGCGCTGGAGGTCATCGGAGGTCCCTCGCTGTTCCCGGCGGGGGCCGCGCCCTGGGCCGCGGGACCGCCGACCAAACGGCTCGGTATGAACAAACCCAGCCCTGGGGAGGGGGTCGCCCCTCGGGCAGCGGCGGTCAGCACGGTGCACGCCCGCGCAAGGTCGTGGTCGTCGTCGTTTCCGTCGTCGTTGTCAACGTCGTCGTCGTCGTCGTCGTCGCCGCCGCCGCCGTCGTCGTCGTCGTCGTCGTCGTCGTCGTCGTCGTCGTCGTCGTCGTCGTCGTCGTCGTGGTCATCGTCGCCGTTGACGTCGTAAAGGAGGCGAGAGTCCGGGGGCTGGCGACTCGAGATCGGGAGGCCTGGGCCGCCGCGATCTCCAGCCCCATACCCATCAGATTTGGATCCTCTACCCCCCGGAGGAGGATGAGGAGGAGGAGGAGGAGGAGGAGGAGGAGGAGGAGGAGGAGGACGAGGAGGAGGAGGAGGAGGAGGAGGAGGAGGAGGAGGAGGAGGAGGAGGAGCAGCGCAGCGCCGTATGTCAAAGGGTGCGAGGCCCATATAGTACTCGTCCAACAACACAAGCTACATGGTCAACGCTTGTATGAGGAAGAAGAGTGAATACGAAAGCTGGGATGGAAATCGTGGTGGACCCCCTGTGCCGTGACGGCTCAAGGGGGCAGATCTGCAGGAGTCGCCATTCTGGTGAGGTCTCATTTGGACGCCTGGCAGGAGCCACGCGTCATGAGGTTGCTCTCATACCACATCGCCTCATGCAAGTATGTTATCTCAGCGGTTCTCTGGGTTTCATTCGCAAATATTGTGGGTATTGGCAAGATTCGGAAGGCTTGGGCCCAGTCAATTTGCGCATGGCCAGAGAGCTCGGCACGGACATTTAGAAAAATAATTTGCCGTGCATCGTTGGTGGAGACTTCAACCTTGAGCCTCACTTTTTCAAGGAAGGTTTCGCACCACATAAGATGAATGGCGAGCTTGTGCTTCCTACGCCTTCGGTCACATGTTTGGCGTCCAGCCCAAGTTCGTGCCTATATCGCTTTTTCATACACAAGCAGCTCCAACCTGCCATAAAGTCGGTTAAGCCAGATATGAATTCCGATATCTTTCCGCACAGACCTGTGCAGTTACAGCTCCACGCAGAGGCGGAGTGCATCAAGGTGCAGCGCCTCAAGCAGTACGCGAAGCTCCCTGTTGATCTCCCAGTGGGCCCAGCTCCAGAGCCTCCAGACTACGAGGGCTTCGAGGACCGCCTCAGTCTCCTCATGTACCCCCTCAAGACTTCTGGAGGCTACAGGATGCCCACGGCCCAAGAGACGGCCGAGCTCCATGAGGCTCTGGACAAGTGCTGCGAGCAGTGGTGCGAGAGGGCCTTCGTCGAGCTCCAGGGAACCCTTCAAAGCTGCCCTCCTGGCCCTCAAGCTGGCAAGCCCTACGAGGTTTACGAGGTTCCATTCGGCGAATTGTTCTGCACGAGAAGGTCCCCTAACAGAGCCTACCAGTGGTTAGCTGTTCGCTGTGCCGAGATACGGTCGCTCTTAGTTTCTGGGAAGTACCTTGCGGCCCAGGAGTATTTCTGGAATCTTTTGAGGTCTACACACTAGGCCACTTGCACTGGAGACATCTTCAGGTATCATCACCCTGGAGACAAAAACTCTGGATGGCACTCCTACAGGCGGCCTTGGAACCCCTTTGGACAGGATTTTACTCAGAAGGCGTAGCTTGGATTGCAGAATCATTTCTCGCGCTCCAGCAGTTTGCAGACTTCCAAGCATCTCTTTCCCTCCCTCGTGAACGTCACGAGAAGCGGCAAAAGTGGGCCGACTGGTGCACAGAGGCTCTTTTACGTGGGGTAAAGTGGGCCCGCGCCTACACCGAGGTGGCGAATGACAGGCGGCAGGACATTTTGTCAAACGGGGAAGGGGGCTTTACAACATGCTTTCTGAAACAGCTGGAGGAGGATGTAAAGAACTGGGGGAAGGTTTGGGGGGAGGGGGCTAAACACGACGGTAAGGCGATCTCGTGGCCAGCCGATCTGGAGATTCCAACCCCGCCTTCGCCTGAAGACATCCAACGTCTCAGCGAGTCTTTCAATCGGGTCACCATAGCAGCAGATGGTTTTCACCCTCGCCACTTCCAGTTGCTGTCCAGGGGCTCGCTGTGCGTCCTCAGTCAGGTCATGGGCCTGATGATCGCGGGCCCCTCCCCGACCTGGATGCACCAGCTCACTATCGCTCTTTTTGGAAGACCTGTGTCTAGGAGGAGACCTAAACGCTTCTATCAAAGTTTGGTCAGACTGGTTTCCAGATGGCATTCCAGTTTTTGCAAGGACTGGGAACGCCAGGTTCAGGATCAATGAGTTTTTTTCAATGCGATCAGGACGGAGCCCAACAGGCGCTGTTTGGAAGCAACAGCTTCGAGGAGATCTCGTTGCAGGCGAGAAACAGCATGTCCTTTCTGTCTTGACAGGTTTAAAGCACTTCTACGAACGCGTTCAGCATCCACAGCCTGTACAGGCAGCCATGTATGGGCAGTTTCACTACTTCGCTTTGCGCTTTTTCATACACACACATGGGTGGGAGAGACTGCTGAGCATGGATGGGGTGGCCTCTAACAGTATTCAGCCACACCATATGATAGTAGCAGGTACTTCCACAGCAACATGTGAGAGTCAGCTGTTGTATTCAAACAGCCGAACTATATTTGGAGCAAGGTTTTCCCCCCCCCACCTCGCGGACCACGTGGGCGACTTCAGTTTGAATGAGATGCGTCCTTCGGTAGCAGGCTGTGTGCTGGTCATGGCCCTCGCTCCCTCTTTTCTCGTCGACATGCTGTCGCAGGCTTTCAAGTTGACTTTCGCGCTAACGAAGTTCTGCGTCGCGGGTGCCAGCTGCGAGCTCGTGATGGCAGCCGCCGAGGCGCTGGGCCAATATGCAGGCAAGTATGACCCCAACGTCATCAATTTAGGGATTGACTTTGGGCCAGGGAAGCATGGGAAAGTCGCGAGAGCCAAACAGAAAACGCGTCGAGCGTTAGCGTAAAGGTTCGGCCATGTTCTCGAAGATCATGAGCCCCAGGAACCCCGCAAGGTCTCGAGCCAAACTACGGTATTGTGTGGTCAGGCCGTCTTATACGTACGGGGGGGAGGTGGTGGGATGAAATCCACGTGGAATCAAGCGTCTGAGGTCCCAAGCGGTTGAGTTTCTGGGCTTCACTTCGTGCGGCGCGGACTCCAATTTGGCCTTCGCCCTGGAGCCCAGTCGGGACCCTCCTAAACACGCTGCTGCGACGATCACCAGATTTGCCACGGAGTTCCGGTGCTCGTCGGATGTCAATCATCGCGCAGCTGATTGCCTAGGCAGAGGAGAGCTATCCAGAGTGCAGACTGTTCTGACGGGCACCCCCTGTTTCAGTTCCCAGATTTTTGTTAAGGCTTAGGTGCGCAGTGCGTGGCCAGCAGCATGGCCAAGCGCCTGAGGGGCAGTGGGCACCAGCGAGCCCGGGAGATCCTGGATCGAGGATTGGGTCGACCCCTCCAAGTCACTTTGGAACTCCGAGAGGTACGACAATTGAGTCAAACGAGTTATCCAGCAGGTGTGCGCAAGATCTTTCGTCGTTGCTAGCCAGTTGCGCAAGTGGAGGTGCGAGGTGGAGCCGATCTGCCCGTTCTGCCGCCACCTTCCAAGCGGCGGTGCCCTGGGCGGAGTGTGATGCCGAGTGTTTGAATGCGCTGGCGTGGAGTCGACCCGAGCTGAATACATGCCGTGCGAGTGGGCGGCGGCAGGCTTGGGGGCGGGACCCGCGGATTTTTTTTTTCAGCAACTTCTGGCCCCCTATTCCTGACAACATCGTCGACGCTTCCTGAGAGGGTAGAATCTGCTATGTTGGGCCCGAGGGCCCCACGCAGATCAGGGGAATATTCTACGCGGATGCATTCCCAGAATGGAGGCTTTCAAAAGTGAAGGCCCACGTTTTGTCCGACAGCCTCGTGGGGATCGAGCTCCGCCAGAAGCGTGGGCGTGATTATGCCGATGAGCATGCAAAAGACGGGGCGAAACATGCTCAAGTATTAATATCTACTTCTAAACCAGGCTGGATGGAGTGAGGGGGCACTTGGCGTTGCAAATATTCTCGCAGGCCTGCCCGGGGCCAAATAGCTGTTCGGGAATTTAATCCGCGCCGCGTCCGACATCATTGAACCGAGACCTGTGCCTAGCAGCCGCTCCCACCGAGTGCTCTGGAATGGCTGTCGCTGGCGGTGCGTCTCGTGCGCCAAGTGCTTCCGCAGGTGCAGCCCAGTAGGCAGATGTGCGGCGCTCAGCCCGTCCCTTCGTAGACTAACAGAGGTTGAGCTGGACGGGCCGCATAAGTTGTATGTTGCCAGGTTTTGGAGACAGATCTTCCAGTTTTGTTCTGTATGAGGCGTGGGTCGTACACGTCGGGTGAGCCCGGGCGCCGGGCCCAGGACTGCACCAAGGTGTTCTCTGCTCAGAGGAAGCAGCTTCTGTCGGGCAGGCTTCCATGGTCTCAGGGCCAACACGTCTCCAACCCGTGGCCCCTCCGCCTCCCGAGTGAGGGAGGGGAATGGTGGGCCTAATTAAAGCACCTTTGAATGGTTCTTTTCCAAGGAGTTTGACTGTCTTTGGGGTGCCCCCTCCTGTCCCTGCAAGGCGGGTCCTGGCCGTTGTTGTTTCCGTCGTCCAGGTGATAGGGGGGGCCTCTCAGCAGCGCCACTCCCCGCCGCAGCCTTTTCGATCATGGATTGGAGGAGTGAAGAGTGAGAGAGAGAGAGAGAGAGAAAGAGGAGCAGGGCGTCGTCGTCGTCGTCGTCGTCGTCGTCGTCGTCGTCGTCGTCGTCGTCGTCGTCGTCGGAGCGTTGGAGCGGCCGCGCGCAGGGCGAGGGCGCGGCCCCGGCGCCGTGCCGCGTGAAGGTGGTGCCCGCTGGCCGGGCCGAGCGGGCGCAGAGCAGCCAGGCCCCCCGCCCCCCGTCCTCCTCCTCCTCCTCCTCCTCCTCCTCCTCCTCCTCCTCCTCCTCCTCCTCCTCCTCCTCCTCCTCCTCCTCCCCCCTCCTCACCCCCCCTCCTCACCACCTCCTTCTCCCCCCTACTCACCCCCTCCTCCTCCTCCTCCTCCTCCTCCTCCTCCTCCTCTCCTCCTCCTCCTCTCCTCCTCGTCCTCCTCCTCCTCCTCCTCCTCATTCTCCTCCCGCCTCCTCCTCCTTCTTCTCCCCTCCTCCTCCTCTTCCCCTCCTCCTCCTCCTCCTCCCTCCCTCCGTCCCTCCCTCCCTCCCCCCTCCCTCAATCCCTCCCTCCTCCTCCTCCCTCCTCCTGTCCCCCTTCTCCTCCTCCTCCTCCTGCTCCCTCCTCCTCCTTCTACTCCTCCTCCTCCTCTTCCTCCTCCTCCTCCTCCTACTCCTTTTTCTCCCTCTTCCTCCTCCTCCTCCTCCCGCCTCCTCCTCCTCCTCCTCCTCCTCCTCCTCCTCCTTTTCCTCCTCCTCCCTCCTGCTCCCTCCTCCTCCTCCTCCTCCTCCTCTTCCTCCTCCGCCTCCTCCTCCTCCTCCTCCTCCTCCTCCTCCTCCCTCTTCCTCCTCTTCTCCTTCCTCCTCCTCCTCCTCCTCCTCCCTGCTCTTCCTCCTCTTCTCCTCCTCCTCCTTCTCCCCTCTCCTCACCGTTTTCTCCTCCTCCTCCTCCTCCTCCTCCTCCCTCCTCCTCCTCCCTCCTCCTCCTCCTCCTCCTCCTCCTCCTCCTCCTCCTCCTCCTCCTCCTCCTCCTCCTCCTCCTCTCCCTCCCTCCCTCCCTCCCTCCTCCCTCCCTCCCTCCTCCCTCCTCCCTCCCTCCCTCCCCCCTCCCTCCTCCTCCCTCATCCTGCTAGCCTCGCACCTACGTCGTGCGCTTGCGTTGGGGGGAGTCGAGACTGGGTGAGGATCCCTGCCGGAGGGTCGCCTTTGCCCCCTCCCCAGGAAGTCCCTAATCTAGCGTTTGCCTTTTGGGCTTGGGCATGGCACCTCTCCAGACGGAGCCTGGGAAACTGAGGGAGGTTTGGGCACGGTGGCATGCAAGTCCTCGTGCCTTCCCCCTCTGTCCCAGATATGCTTCCCGAGAGTGGTCTCATCCATGACGTTGTGGGGTTGCTGTCGGTCGCCGGCCTGGGCCCCGCGGCTCTCTACTAAAGGGGCTGTGCCCGCAGTTCCAACATGCCACCTAGCTGGGCGGTCACCAACCAACCAACCAACCTCCCTCCCTCCCTCCCTCCCTCCCTCCTCCTCCTCCTCCTCCTCCTCCTCCTCCTCTCCTCCTCTCCTCCTGCTCCTCCTCCTCCTCCTCCTCCTCCTCCTCCTCCTCCCTCCTCCTTCTCCTCCTCCTCCTCCTCCTCCTCCTCCTCCCCTCCTCCTCCTCTCCTCCTCCTCCTCCCCTTCCACCTCCTCCTCCTCCTCTCTCCCTCCCTCCCTCCTCCTCACCTCCTCCTTCTCCTCCTCCTCCTCCCCCTCCTCCTCCTCCACCTCCCTCGTCCTCCTGCTGCTCCTCCTCCTGTGCTCGACCTCGACCTCGTTGTCGTCGTCGTCCTCCTTCTTCTTCTCCCCCTCCTCCTCCTCTTCTCCTCCCCCTCCCCCCTTTCTCCTCCTCCTCCTCCTCCTTTCCTCCTCCTTCTCCTCCCCCTCTTTCCTTTTCTCCTCCTCCTCCTCCTCCTCCTCCTCCTCCTCCTCCTCCTCCTCCTCCTCCTCCTCCTCCCCCCTCCTCCTCCTCCCTCCTCCTCCTCCTCCTCCTCCTCCTCCTCCTCCTCCTCCTCCTCCTCCTCCTCCTCTGCTCTCTCATCCTCCTCCCTCCTCCTCTTCCTTCCTCCTCCTCCTCCTCCTCCTCCTCCTCCTCCTCCTCCTCCCTCTGCTCCTCCTTCTCCTCATCTTCCTGTCCCTTTCCTTATGCTTAATTTATCTCTGTCGCACCCCGGGGGCAGTCGGAAGCGCGTGCCAGGCGTTCCGCCTGAGGATTCCTCAATTCCTCACCTTTTATGATCTTGAAATCTTCAAGTTACAACAGTTTCACAGTTGGAGGGCGGGTCGCTTTCAAAATGTGGCTATCGCCTTAGCGCCGCGCACATTCGGTTTCTTCGTGGCCTCTTTGGCAGTATTACGGCGTTCCTGGCCCGTCTGACGCCGTCGGAAGCCGTCTTCGGAGCCTCTCTGGGCTGTTTGGGAAGCTTCCTGGGCCGTCTTGGGGCCCTTTGGGGGCCGTCTTGGGAGCCTCTTGGGCCGTCCTGTGGTTTTCTTGGAGGTCTCTTGTGCGATCTTGGGGCAATCTTTGGGGCCTCCTTGGCCGTCTTGGGCCATTGAAAGGTTGTTTTGAAGCAAATGCCAGAGTCTTTCAGACACCGAAGGGAAATTCATGATTTTGATCTCGGAGGATGTTTTGGAAGTGGGCCGTAGCAGACGTCTTGAACAAACCAGGGCAGATAGAGGTTTTTCGCAGTCTTCGGTTGGGGGGCGGGCGGTTTTCGGGCCCTGGGGCCATCAAGCAAGGTCTGGCATGCGAATCGGGTCCCTGCGAAGTTGTCCACAGGTCCAGGGGCCCCGTCTTGAAAAAAATCAAGGCATCGGAGGTCCCTGAAATAGGACCAGGGCAAAATGGACCTCGCCCTCGAGGGATCGATCGGGTTGCCTTCTTTTCCTCGGTGGGAGGCTGGTGGAGGTAAACCAGGGCGGGTCCGCCGGTAGAAGGCCAGCAGAAGGGCGACGGATGCCAGCGGTAGTAAAAGTTTTCCTCCCACGAGTTTTTTTTTTCTTCTTTTTTTTTCTTTCATTTTTTCTGTGGATTCCAGATTTCCAGAACACAGTCGGGGCGCTGACCTAAGGAACACTAAATAAGGAACGAGGCTCCTTTTTTTCCATAAGTTAAACTTCGATTTCCCATCGAAAACATGAGGAACACCTGAGGCAAGCTGTGAAACAATTAAGGAACCGGAGCCCCTCCCGACGAGAAGGGTTCCTTCTTCAGCGACCCGACTGTAGTGGGCCACGTGTGGCAGCGATTGTGTTCGGTTCGGGACGCTCCCTCAAGGCGACGGAAGCAAAGCGTGATGGCCAGTTTTGGCGTGTTCGGCTTCTGGACGCCGTTTCCAGGCTCCAGGACCGTCAGAGAACGACTCATGAGAAACCAGTTCCCGGGGAGGGATCAGGAATTTTGTGGGGTCTACGTCGTGAGAAATCATTTCGGGGCCCAGCGATATACATCACAACACCACCTCTATCGCCCCGGCCTTCTCCCAGGAAAGAGGAGAGGAAACCGATGGTGGAGGAGGGAGGGGGAATGCAGGTGGTGGATATGCATATTCTGTGGGCCCGCAATCGCGTTTTTGGGCCTGAGTGGAAGGACCCTGCGGGGCTGCCTCCGCTGGAGGGCCCAGCAGCTGCGCCAGCCGATGCAACAGACAACCGGACCAAAAAGCAGGGAGCCCCCTGGCAGCCGTGCTGGGGTGAGTTGGGGCGATTGGCCTGAGCTCTCCCCCTTCCGGGGGAGCAGCACCGAGCATCCAGCCAGAGGCGAACAACCACGGGCACGCGGGTCGCGCATCACGGCTCGGGTTGGAGGGGCGTCCTTTTCCGGGGCGGCGGCGCGAGGGCACGAGCGCAACCGCGCGCCGCGCACCGCGGGGCGCGTGTCGCGAGGCGGGGTGACCTGGCTCGCAAACGCTATCGGCTTGCAGGGCTTCCGCTGGTCAGCCTGCAGGGCCACCCGCTCGGAAGGCACAGAGCGTCACTGGGGCCGCAGCCGCGACACACCGCGCACGAGTTCCGGGCCGTTGGTCGAAGTCTCCGTCTGCGGGGCCCCGCCTTGTGGGCGAAGAACATATCCGTACGGTAGGTTCGTGTCGTGTCGGTTGGCGGCGACCCCGCCAGCGGCGTTCAACTTTGAACGTCGCGGGCGATCCAGAATCGTTCGATGTGGAACGATTTGGACGTGTCGGAAACGGCCGATCGTCCAAGGTTGAACGATCCCCGCGGTGTCAGAAACCAGTGACGAAGTCGGCACGACACGAACCTGACGTATCTGCGGCCTAGCGGGCTGGACCCCTGGGCCGCGACCCCGCGGATACGGGGCGCTTCTTCGTGGATGCTCTGCGCGGAGCGTATCCGTGCGACCGCGCTTCCGCGGGATCGCGCCCAGGAATCCAGGCCGCGGGGGCGCGGATGCGGACAGTTATGTCAGCCGCTCGTGAAAAGTCTCCGTCTGCGGGGCCCTGGCTCTCTCACCTCCGCGTGGGCGCGCATCTCGCTTGCACTGCCTGTACACGCTGGACGGCACCGCGCTCCGAGAGCCGGTTCTGCCGCAACAGGCCCGTGTTTAGTGCTTCGCCGGACCCCCCCAGGGAGCGAGCAGCGGTTGGGCGATCTGGCTCACTGGCTGCATGGGGGGCTGCGCGGTGCAGCGGGGTG